GAACTAGCACCTCAACATTAGGAAATACCTTAAAGGTCATTTAAAAAATGCTCGCTCTTCCTTTTCTCCATCCCAGTGCCTGATAGGATTCGTTACCACATTAAAGAGTCCTCGCAAAGTCTGAGGATGCGACTATCAAAATAAACTACATGGTTTTATTATTTTTGCAAACAAACATGTATGAGCCAGTGTAGTTAGAGGCTTATAAAACTGAGTCTTATTAGAAAAATGGTGAAGCTGTGGCTTCTCCCTGCCCACTCTCCCATGATGTTTGGCGTCAGCCTCTCTTGGGGGAGGATGTTTATTCCAAGCATCCGGAGAAGCATTGTGCTTTGTTCAGGATCCACCTGCTCCTCTTGGGCCCAAACACAATTCACTGATGCTGTTGGATACCAGAGTGGGAGGCTGGCTGCTGCTATTCCCTTGAATTTAGTCCAGGAAACTAAGCAAGGGGTGGAGGGACCCTATATGAAGGCCAAAGAGTTGGGATGTTAAATGGAACAACAATTCCCTGAGTTCTTTTGTTTGTTTGATGCTATGATTAGTGCGATCTGGGCTCAAAATTTTATAGTGTACAATGTACACGCACCCCCTACCTCCCAGCCCACACTTAGGAGTCATCCAGTCTAGTCAGAGAGAAAGAATAATAATAGAAAGGCAAAATATGATAAAATATGGATTGCAGATGGTATAGTATATAAGGTATTGCTGTTAATAATAGTAATAGCTGCCATTTATCTCGTGCTCATTGGGCTCCCATCACCATTCTGGATACTTTTTTGCACAAGCATCTCTTTTGTCACCACAGCAACTCAGTGGACAGCTGAGGAACCTGACATCAGACAAGTGTCATAGCTTGCTGTAGGGTCTTTGTCCCTCCTTTTTTCCATCTACAATAAGAGGAGAATAATAGTGCCCATTTCACAGGGTTGGATGAGGCCCAGATGAGTCACTATGTGTCAAGCACATAGAACAGTGCTGGTGACATAGCAGGTGTCCTTTAATTGCTATACATACAAAGTGAGAGCATACATAGATACCCCCCAGCTTCCCCCAACAACACATGACATACAACACACACGTACACTGCCCCCCACACAGATTTTCACAGTGTCTTGTGTTCAGGGCTTGATAAGTGTCAGAGCACTGGAATCCAGTATTATCAAGGTGCAGCTTCTTAGACTCAGCAAGTGGAAGAAGGTGCCGTTTGATTTGACTGGTTTAGACCCTACAGGAGCCCAGTCCCTCTGCCTGTCTCAGGAAGCAGACATACTGCAACAAGGGACACTTCAGAAGCCCAGAGTCATCCAGGCAAGGATCTTGCTCCCCACTAAGTGCTAGGAAGGCAGGCGCTACTCAAGGGGAAGCCGTGTGAGGGTTTCCTAAGAGATCTGCATTTAGAGAGGAGGGAGACTCCTGGGCATATCCAATATGGTGTCCAGACAACCTACTGCAAATGCTGTTTTAAAGTACAGGTTTTTCCAGAAACAGAGCCTCTATCTGGGGACTTACTGGGAGACCTGGAGAATTGGCCTTTTTCCTGTGAGATGAAGCAGCAATGGCCTGAGAATTCACTTTTCTGTGACCTAATCTCTTGGGGGTTTCCGAGGCTCTTGTTCGACTCATGTCTCAGTGACCTAGAGGTTCCCTAGCCATGTTTTTCTGGCCTCATCCAAGCCCAGTTATTTTCCCTAAGTTCCTTTAAATTCCAGCTGGGTGCTGAGGCCAGTCTTGACCTTGCCTTATGCAGGGGCAAAGGAGCCTGGGTTTTCCTGCCTTCGGTCACAGCAGTAGGAAAATACCCGGGCTCCATTCCAAGTGGGAGGATGCTCTGGCTTCGTCTTGAGCAGCAGTCCTGCCTGCAAACAGGAAGCTTCCCTTCCACGGGGGCTCAGTTCTGTTGATGGTCACACGCCCCAGCAGTTTTCCCCTAACAGGAAAGATGTCAGAACTGTTCAGGCATTTCCTCCTCTGCCATCTGCTATCCGGACCGAGGAGAAAGTCTTAGTTTCGGTTCCTTTCCTGTACAGGGTAGGTGGTTCTGATTGGAGGCTGCTGGAATACATCTTGGGAAGTGGGAGAACAGGGTTTTGAAGGGCACATAGCTAATGCCTCCAATTCATGCCTTTCCTGGATCACAATTATTAAACAATTATCAGGGTTTCTCTCCCGAGCCTGAGTTCCTGAATCCTATGGACCAGTCAGCAACCTGGAGGAAGAGCTATGAACTTCATTAAAAGTGGGTTCCATGCTTTCAATGGAAAAGGGGGGTGGATGACCAGACAGAGACACCATTTCAGCTTGAGTAGAGACTCCTTTGGATAGGAAGAGAGGAAGCTGCTGAGGATCCTGCTGAGTGTGTAGTCATGGATTTATGATGTAGCCCTTTCTTCCTTTGGCTTTTCTTCCATCATTTCAGGCTCTTGTAACCCTGAAACAAAGGAATTTTTTTCTTAGTTATTATTGCATCATTAATTTTTTCTACTGGTGGTAATTTTTTAAAATTTAATTTGAATAGGACATGCATACATGGGCAATCCTTACATAAACAAGATATTGTTTTCGAACTTTGTTCTCTGACATCTTAGATGTTAACTGATGTATGTTTTGGGACTGGGAAATTTTTGAGATTTTTCTTACTGTGTTGTTGTGCATATACAACTAGTAGGGGCTTTGTGTGTGTGTTATTTGTTTGATTTTTTGGTTTTTAGTTAGAATTTTAGAAAAAAGAACTCTTCTTGTCAGGGGGTGATAATGGGACTTGAATCAGCATTATCACCTGCGACCCTGGGTGCAGTTGAGGATACAGCAGTAACTTTGTCTCCTGCTCTCCACTTTTCTCTGCCTTCCCAGGAGGACTTTAAAAAGGACAAAGGAGAGGACCTGGCCCAAGTGCTGTGTAGGGAGGAGCAGGCTGACGCCAAGGATGGGGCCCGTGTGTGCTCCCTGCTCCTTGCCCAGTCTGAGGTTAAGCCTCAGTGCCTACTACTGGTCTTGGCCAACAGAACAGGTAAGGAGCACATCTGTCTGGGGAGCTCAGGAGCTGGACAGGGAGTGAGTGGGACAGATGTTAGACAGGACTGGGGTTGAGGATCCTGGGTGGAGGGAGATCGGGCACCTCAGCTCTAGAGAGTATAGGAAATGGCTGCCTTGGGAGTGGCGCTCCTGAGTCAGAACATCACAGCATCTTCTAGAACTGTGTGGGAGGGTAGAGCAGGATGAATTGATGTAGCTTCTACATTCAGTAAACCCTGTCTCTTAATTCTAGAAATTTTCAACAAGCTCCAACTTCTGAAAAAGCACCAGTCTGACCTGAGAAAGGTAAGTTCTGAGATGCAAAGTCTCAGAAGGAATACTGGGTGAAGGGAGCTGGTGGTGTGGGGAGTAAGCGGAGATCATTATCTGCTCCTGTTCTGCCTGTCCCACCTCTCCATTCTTCTCTGACAGTCTTCAACTTTCTAAGATTGAACCAAAAATTTTGTAGCACAGATTAATTAGGAGGTGTCATTCTTAAACCCTGTTTCAAAGCTCTCTGAGGTCATGTCCTATTGCATCAATTTCCTGTTGGGTCACGCACAGGGGTCTAGAGTGGGTTGGGCTCCTCTTCCAGAACCCACTTTCCACAAGTGACAGTTTATCTTTTCTGTGCCTGCTCTTCAAGCTGGGAATCCAAGGTGTCACTGAACAAGATGTCGTGAGTCACCAAAGCTATTCCCGAAAGACCCTGATTGCACTGGTCACCTCAGGGATCCTGCTGGCTGTCCTGGGCCTCACAGGCTATTTCCTGATGAATCGCCGAAGCTGGAGCCCCACAGGAGAAAGGCTGGTCAGTCCTGGGATCCAGGGCAAAGGAATTGAGGAAGACAGGGTCTTCTGGGGAGGTCCATGGATGTCTTGGAAGGGGAGGAGAAATAGCAGAGAAGGCACTTCTGTGCACTTATATAGGGATATGCACACGCACACTGTGTCCCCGGAAGATTCAAAACATTATATAGCCAGCTGGGGCAGGGGGAGTAACTGGGGCAGCCTGCCTACTCACTGCAGTAGCAGAGGTTTTCTGGGATAGTTCAGCTGGGTACCACCAGAATCAGCCATGCTATCTGCAACCATATTAAATGCCCATTGGGTACCATCCTGCTCACAAGAAGGGGA